TACACCTGCGTAGTAGAACCCTCTGACGGGGGTGGGGTGGTGTCCACTCGCTCAGGTACCCCTCTAGTCACCAGAATAGAGATGTGCAGACAATGAGAGACCAATAAACAGATACCAAAAAAGATAAAAAAATGTCCACACCTTTATCTCAGTGGTCTGTCAGGCTTCCGTGGCTGCTCTGATCCTTCCCTTGCTTGGTCTTGCCCAAGATGGCGGCTCCTGGAGCAGCTGAGCGTCTTGAATTAGAAAGCAATGGATTTCTGGCTTCTGCTACAAATTCCGCTAGTTGTAAGGTGTCCAACTTTCTAAATATTCCTTTATATGTGGTTCAGAGTTCTGGGACCATCATGTGAGCCTGCTTGGTCCGGTATTCTGTGTTGTTGCTGATGGAGCTCTTCACTGCACTTCCACCTGATCTGCCATGTTGTTTGTTCTCCTGATGTTTTTGCTTCATTTTTGGAATTCATGTTTTCTGTTATGGGCTTTTTTCAAACTGATGTATTTACTTACTTAGTGCCTTAAACTAGATGTTATAAGAAATTAGTATGAGTTTTTTTTGGTGTGAAAATTTTTAAAAATCCATTCATGAATTTTTTTTCATAATCACATTTTCCATCAGATTTTTGAAGAATGTTTGTTTAAATTGGACACTAGCATCCTGAGATGCCAGAGTGGCAAAACTGTGAGAGTGCATTGCATTATATGTCCCATTGGTTATGTAGGAAACAAAATTGTAATCAGTAGGTTTTTTCTTAGGGAAGGTCAGAACAAGGAATGTTATATAGATGATCTCAGTGGTTCATGCCAGCAGGCAGGCTATCATTGCTTGATACATCTATTCATTTCATGTTTTTTTCATTATACCTCATTTTATTAAAAAAAAAAATTATACTTTCATAGAATACCTTTCTATACAAGAGATGAACAAAGTAAGAAATAATAGTGTTACTTTTCATAGTTTTATATTTGTAGGTAGATTATTTAAGGACATTTGAAGGATATATCTCAGTTTGGAATTTATAGTTATTTTCATACATCTATAAGGGGGACCCTCTTCTCTAAATGGAACTTCTCTATATTAAAATATTCTCCAAGCTTTTTCTCCTACACTTTAGAAATTCGTGAGCGTGATATTATTAGTATTTCCTAATTTTAAAGTTTCATTCAGACATATAACCTTCATCAGAACAGCATCAACAAAACAGAGGGGGATTTTTCCAAAACAGTCAAATTTTCTGCTGAATCTTTATTTATGAGTTAACAGTTTTTCCCATTGTCCATATTCCTAGAACAAATATAGAAGAGATATGATGGAGCTCTGGTAGCGTAGTGGTTACAAATCGGGTTGCGAACTACAAGGTCAGTAGTTCAAAACTGCCAGTTGCTCCATGGGAGAAAGATGAGGTGTTCTGCTCCCATAAAGATTAACAGCCTCAGAAACCCTGTGCAGGGTCTCTATGAGTCGGAACGGACTCCACGGCACATAACAACAACAAAATGATCATAATATGCTGATAGTAACAAACTGAATTCCCATTAAGAGACTGATAAAAGGTAAAAACCCATATGTAATGTTTTGTCATACTGTGAGTCTTGTGAGAAGTTAGGAGACAATCCTATTGTCTTACCAGAGTATGGAATACAGTATCAATATTTTGTGAATGTTAATTCCTCTCATACTTTTTCCTCAAAGATTAAATTCTGAAAAGAATCAAGTGATTAGAAGAGGGATGTCTCACCAATGGACATCTGTTATTTTGTCCTTATTGATAGTCGAATGGGAGGTGTACAGTCATTTTTTAAGGTACTAAGTCAATTAAGTCCACAGCATAGCAACAGCTTTACAGATGTCTGCATCGTGATAGTTGAAATACCAAAGACCTGCACAGGGTAAGGCAAGAGTGCCAGGAGGCCTGCGTCGGCAACTTTTGTGGTGCATCCCCATGGTTATAGTAACAACCTGTCCCAGTCCCCAGTGACTATGGAGAGGGAGCGCTGCAGGCAGAGAGTAGCCCACCGCAGAGTAAGGTTACAAATAAGCAGCTGTGAGCAGGCCTAGGAGCAAAACACTGACAACCCTCTCACCATCCCAGTGGAGTGATGCAGCCTTGGAACCAGAGCAGTGTGCTACAGTCCTGGAGTAGACTAATCTTGGAGAAATGCTGAGATGTGAGCAGGTCTGATCACTGGGGTTCAGAGGAACAGAGTTCAGGCTCCTTGAGCAACTCAGATGACACAGCCTCCAGATCAGCACCATGTTGGTCCTTAGGGCTCAAGGTCACCCAGAAACCTGTTCATTATATTTTGATCAGTTTAGTTTTTTTTTTTTTTTTTTCATTTTGCTTGGCCATCTCTAAAAATGGTAAAAAGAAAATAAATGAGAAATACCTTGATAATGACTTATTCCCTGTAAAGTTAAGGTTGTATGGTATGTGCTTGTCAAGGATTGAATTGCCAGTACCCATTCATGGAACACCAACGTTAAAATGCTGCTTGTGTGATTGATACCCTAGTATCAGCTGGTAATATAAAGTGATCTGTAAACCATTTGAATCCTCAACTTAGTATCTAGATATGGACTTGGACCCAATGGTGGCATAGTGACCTCACTCAATCTCTTTGCTACCAGATTTGATCAGGTATGTCTATCCTTATGAATGTGAATGTGGGTTTAAAAAAATGTATGGCTCTTATACACCTTCTCTTGAGCTCACTGGAAAGAAGAGCAATAAGCTTGAACGTTACAGTGGAAAATTAGGAAGCATTTGGTAGGGTATAAGATGTTGTGAGAGGAGGCATCTCAGTATTGTGAGATGTTTCACATTAAATATTTGTGACAGCAAATAAGACAAATCCAAGAGATCTGGGTTCTTATCTCTTACTAATTTGTTGTGTTGTCTGTGGTTGAAATGGTGGTACAGGGAAGTGGGATGGGCCAGCAAGCAGGGAATGGAAAGTTAATGGGCATTTTTTACTTGTGGCAGGTATTTGTCATCTATTAGGTTTTCTCTGTTACCTTCAATTTCTGTGAGAGTAGTCATTAATATGTTATTCTGATGTTACTCCATGAGACATATAGATATAACTTGAGAATGATAAATGATAAATCTATACTTGAGCTTCATAGGTCCTTGCACTGTGCACAGGGTGTTGTTATAGTGTTGCTCATGTGGATGTGTTTATACATATCATTGAGTTTTATTAATTAATGTCCTTAAATTATGAACATAGACAATTTACAGTGGTACCTAGGAAGTTTGCCACCCTAGAGAAAGCTCTGATTTTGCACAGAAATCTGATCTTGTATTGGTCTTTTTTTCTTTTAGGTGATGAAATTTATTGAGAAGGCCCAGAACATGTCTAAGTAAGTGATTTCAGTTTAACACCTATTTTTTGTTCTATAATTGACACATTCCTAGACTTTTAGAAAGACCCTAGGATACCAAGCTCTGAAAAGGTTAAGATTGAGATGAAGCAATTAGAAGTGAAAAAGAGTAAGCAAGAAATTCATCAAGCTTTTAAATAACGTAGAGCTAAATGTACTATTATTCACCTCTAATTACTTTGCTGTACTTGCATGGCTTTCTTTTGGAGGATGTCTAAAAAGGAGGTGTTTTGAGACTTTTCCACTTCAGATGTTTGCATGCCTTCTCCTGGGAAATCATGCTTATTGGCATCAAAACCGCTGTTATATCTTTCCAACCCTCGTTTAAATGAATGTAATTGAGATGATTAAGAGAGTAATTATTTTTTAATTAAAAAATTATCAAAATAAAATTAATATTTATCATTACTGATAATTAACTGATGTTATATTTTTACTATGTTCTTATTTTTAAAAAGAATTATTTTTGTTTTAAAAATAAACAGATATGAGGGGGCTTCAAAAAGTTTGTGGAAAATTTTCATTATTTAAAAAAAAAATTTTTTTATGTGTGTGAAATGAGTGAAGATTTACAGAGAAGATCATCAGTTTTACATTCAATAAATCATCCACTTTGTTTCATCTCAATGATTACAGTCCCACCCATGTAGCAACCATTATCCCTCTTCCTCCTGTGGTTCTTATTTCTCTTCTACCCTCCTTACCCATCCCTTCTCAAATTTGTCCTTAAGTATATATAGCCCTTTTGATTGACCATTCCATGATAAGCATACCTTACTAGCGTTGTACCCCTTATATACCTGTCAACTACTTGGCTGAAAATTGGATCACAAGGGTGAGTTCTATTCCATACCTGAAATATGGTCAAGGGCCTTAGTATCTCAGGTTCCTCAAGTCGCTTTCTGACCAGTAAGCCTGATCTCTCGTTTTTTCTTATAATTTTGAGTTTTGTTCCACATTTTCTTCAGTCCATCCAGGACCTTCTAATATCCGTTTCAGAGCAGTTGACCAGGTATCCTCTAGTTCTTCTGGTCTTAGAGTCATGATGTTTGATGTTCACATGTTTCATTAGTCCATTGGACTATTTGATGTCCAAGGATCTTCAAATTTTCATCTTTCTTTCCTATATGGAAAGACCAATAGTTGTATCTTAGATGACCGCTCATGAGCTTTTAAGATCACACTACTCATCAGTCACTATCTACTAAAGTAAGATGTAGAACATTGTCTCTGTGGACTGTATGGCAATTGATCATGGTGTCCCCTAAGACTAAATTCCTAAGCTTCCAGGCCCAGCAATTCATTGTCTTAAGGAGTTTGATAATATTGAAGACATTTTCATCATTTTGCCCCTGTGTGACATTGTAGGATGAGCACTGGACCATTAATCTCAAGGTTGGCAGTTCAAAGCCACTAGATGCTCCTCATAAACTGCACATAGGGTCGCTTTCTATGAGTCAGAACTGACTCCATGACACTTAACAAAAACAACATTCTCCACCACATTCATAGGTATGCTTACAGCAAAGGTAAACACCTGTGTAGAGAGATTCACTTTCAAATCCTTATATATTTGTGGGTATACTCCCACTGTACCTCCCATACTTGTTAAGCATGTTTATGTATCTACCTACAGAACACTGTTGTTCCAGGGTTGTATATGTAACACTCTTTACTGTCCCTGTTAGCCCTTGCATACCTTCCTGTGTCTTCACCTGTCTCCACATTTTTCTGCCAACTTCCCTTTTTTGTATATTGCCCTTCCCTCTTGTATATTTCCCTCCCCATCATCTGAGTTAACATGTGCCTACCCCCTGGTGTGGCACTTGCCAGTTAATGTGCTGGACTGCAAGGTCAGCTTGAACCTCAAGGTTGGCTGTTCAAGCTCACCGACTGCTCCTCAGAAACCCTATACAGGGTTGTTACGAGTCGTAATTAACTCGATGGCACTTAAAAACAGCAACAATAAAAAGCCCTCTCGCTAGTGAATTATTCTCTTACTTCCCACACCTGGTAACCATTAAAGAATGTTTCTTTTAGCATGAAAACCTTGTGTATATAACATTGTTCACCCTTTGATCAGAATCCCTAAGTTAATTCCTATGCTTTCATTGCTGATCTTTATAGTTATAGACTTTACATTTAAGTCATTAATCCACATTGAGTTTGTTTTTGTATGTGATATGAGATATGAATCATGTTTCATTTTTCAGTATCCATTCAGCAAATGAATTTCCAGTTTTGCCAGCACCATATGTTGAAGGGACTATCTTCCCCGTTTAATGTGCTTTGGCCCTTTGTCAAAGATCACTTTACTGTATGTGGATGGATTTACTTCTGTTCCCATTGATCTATGTGTCTATCATGGTAGTGCCAGACTATTTCAACTACTGTGGACTGTGTCCTTGATTTTGAGATCAGAAAGTAAGAGGTCTCCAACTTTGTTCTTCTTAAGTAATGCTTTGCTTATCTAAGATCTCTTTTTTTCCATATAAAGTTAGTAATCAGTTTTTCCATTTCTTTAAGTAATGACTTTGGAATCTGAATTGGTATTACATTATTATAACTATAGATTGCTTTGGCTAGTTGACATTTTCACAATGTTAAGTCTTCCTGTCCATGAGTATGGTATTTTCTTCCATTTTTGTAACTCTCTTTTGGTTTTCTGTAGTAGTGTTTTATAGTTTCCTTTGTATAGGTCTTTTGTTTCTCTGATTAGATTTGTTCCAAGTATTTCATCTTTTGGGTGGCTATTGTAAATAGCATTGTTTTCCTGATTTCCTTTTCAGAACTCTCTTTATTTTGTATGTTGATCTTGTACCCTGCCACTTGGTTGAATCTTTCTATGAGTTCTAATAATTTTCTTGCTGAGTCTTTGGGATTTTCTCTGTACAGGATCATGTCATTTTCAAATAGCGCTTCACTTCTTCTTTGCCAATATGGAGGCCTTTAATTTCCCTTTCTTGTCTTTTAGCTCTGGCTAAGACTTCCAACACTGTTGAATAAGAGTGGTGATAAAGACATCCTTGTTTTGTTCCTGTTCTGAAGGGAAATGTTTTCAGTTTCTCTCCATTCAGTGTAGTGTTGTCTTCTGGATTTGTATCTATGCCCTTAATTATGTTGAAGAATGTATCTTCTATTCCTATTTTGTTGAGTTTTTTTTATCAGACAGGAATGGATGTTGGGTTTTGTCAAATGCCATTTTTTCGTCAGTTGATATGATCATGTAATTTTCCTTATGTGGTGGGCTATGTTGATTACTGGTCTATAATTTTCTTTTTTAGTGATGTCTCTGCCTGGTTTTTGTATGAGGTTTGTGCTTGCTTCATAACATGTACTCAGGAGTTTTCCATCCTTTTTTATGTTAAGGAATAGTTTGAGTAGAATTAGTGTCAGGTCTTCTTGAATACTTCATAGAATTCACCAGTAAAGCCATCTAGGCCCTTATTTTTTTGGTTGGAAGTTTTAAATGAGCTAATCAATTTCTCTTATTATAGGTCTTTTCAAGTTTTCCACTTCATTCTGTATTTAGGTAGGTCATGTTTTTCTAAAAATTTGAACATTTCGCCTAGCTTTTCAAATCTGTTAGAGTACAATTCTTCATAGTATTGTGTTATTATCCTTTTTATTTCCATTGGGTCTGTTGTGACATCACCCATATTGTTTCTCATGCATGTTATTTGGATCTTCTCCTTTTCTTTTGTTAGATTTATCAGCAATTTATCTATTTTATTAATCCTTTCAAATAACCAACTTGTCTTATCAGTTCTGTTGTTTTTCTGTTTTCTATTTCATTTGTTTCTGGTCTATTCTGTATGATTCCTCTTCTTATGGTGGCTATGGCTTACTGTGCTGCTGTTTTCTGATTGTTGCAGATGTTGCACTCATATGTTGATTTTGATTCTTTCTTTTTCTTGTGTGCATTTATTGGTATAAATTGCCCTCAAAGCACTGCTTTTGCTGTGTCTCCAAGGTTTTGGAAAGTCTTATATTTTCTCTCATTTGATTCAGGGAATTTTTTTATCCCATTTTTGGTATGTTCTATTACTCAATAGCTTTTAACCAGTCTTATAAGGAGCTCTGGTAGCGTAGTGGTTACGAATCAGGCTGCGAACCGCAAGATCAGCAGTTCGAAACTGCCAGCTGTTTTGCGGGAGAAAGATGAGGCTTTCTGCTCCCGTAAAGATTTACAGCCTCGGAAACCCTGTACAGGGTCGCTATGAGTTGGAACCGACTTCACAG